GGTAGTAGATAGTCCAATCATAATATTTATTCGTCTTCAATGTCAGCCAAGTGTACTTTCTGTCTGTCCTTTATGCCCATGAGCTCAATAGTTACCCATACTGGTCCCCACAATCTTGTAGAATGTCCTGTCACACCATAAAGCTTTTGTATGGCTTCTGGTACTCCTTCATAATCTAATACCTTGATGCTCACAAGGGTTTGCTGAGACACAGAGACTATGACAAAGTTGCACCTTTGGCCATCCAGCTTTCCTGTCACATAGACACTGTGTGTGTTTGGCATTTTACACCTAGCTGTTGGGACTTTCAAGTTGGGGGTTGGTGGGCGTCGCTCAACACCAACTACTACTGGTCTCCTTGAGGCCGACTTGTTGATAATATTCCTCCTACACTGGCTCCTCAAATGTCCGTGCTTTCCACAGTTCCAACAACCTTTCTGGATACCAGCCTTTCTTGCTGTATCATCTCCCCTGTGCTGAAGTTTCCAGCATTGAGCTCTCTTGTGCCCAGATTTGTTACAGTGCCAGCAAAGTCCCTCAAACCTCTCTGAAAGTTGACCTTTTCTGGCATGGAATCCAGATGACTGTACCAATCTCGGTACCTCTGTGCTGGACTTAACATAGGATTCAAATTCGAGAGCTCTGGTCATTGCATCCTGCATGGTAGAGGAGTGTGCTTGCTTCACTTGTATCTTAAGTTGTGGACTGTCCAAGGCATCTATGAACTGATCCCTCAGCAACAACTTGAGGAGATCGGGTGGTATAGTTGGGTAGGCCTTGTGTGACAGAGCCTGCAAGAGCTGGCACAGGACTTGGAAAGCATCCCCCTTTAGCACAGACTCTCGTCCTGAACCTAGCCCTGTAGACTTCTGACTGATGTTGGGTTCCGTACCTAAGTTCTAGAGCCGACACCAGTGCTCTATAGTTGTGTCTGTCGTCTACTGACAACTGTCCAAGTATTTCCAGTGGTTGTCCCTTCAAGCTCGTTGCCAGGTATACTGCTTTCTGCTCCTGTGTCCAGCCATCCATTTCTGCCAGTAGCTCGAATTGTGCTTTATATGCTTCCCACGGAGCCTTCCCATCGAATTCCTGTGGCTTCCTTCGTACTGGATCACTCCTAGTACTGGAATTCATATCTGGGATGTGACTTCTAACAGGGCTGAAGATGTCTGCATTGTGCAATGATACGTTTAGAAATATCCTCCTCAAACAATCGTACAGATAAATAGGTTGATTAAGGTGCTCTAATAAAATGTACACAGTCGCTTTATTGTAAGTATATTTTAGAAAAAGTTAAGTTATCATTCTATAGCAAATATATATAAAAAAAAGATAAATTGATATTTGTTACTGAAATTGTTGTGAAACTTGTAATCTTATTAATATAAAAATTACAAATCGTGCAATATTTGATAGTACTTTGTTTGAGTGTTGAATTTCGAGTTATATATTTTTTTGTTTGTTTTAGAGCAAAGCCACATTGAGCTATCTGTTGTTTCCACCGGGAGAAATCGGAACCCCAGATTTTAGGGCAAGATGTCCGTTAATTTCGAGTTAGGGAACCCATTTAGGACACCCATTTCCAATAATTAAGTTACACGTTAGATGGCAGCACTTAGTGAAATGCTATCCAGGAAGGAGGACGTGGGGGTCTTAGCCTTGAGTGGAGTAAACGTAGGTGTTTGTTCAAACTGTTCTATTTAATTGTATTATCACAATAAAAGGAATGACATGTCGCACCAGACTGGAATTCATTGTAAGTACAAAATTAATAATTTTCACTTGATGTATGCATAACATAATTTTACAGTTTTGTACGTAGAATTAAAGTTTAGCTTTTAAATCATTTTCTTCAGTGAGTTAGATTTAAAAAAAAATTCTCTACTTGTTTTATTACTAAATTGTATTACTTCAACTTGATAAGACCAGTCCAATTTCCAAACGTGTTGTTATGCTTACAGTAGTATAACGCTATTAGTATTAGTTTGGCAGTAAAAGTTAAAATACTTAAGCTAAATAGGTTTAGAACTTATAAGTTAGACCACTTCCACAATAACGTTTTTTTTAATTTTATACCAAATATCCAAAATGATTTTAACCTATCGCCGTAACTTGTAAGATAACTTTCGTTCCTGGAGTGATCTTCTGAAAGTGAAAACTATTCCAATAAGTGTACAACTTCCCTTAGATACAAAAGACCAAAAATGTGCACAGTGTAACATTTGATGAAAAACAAGGGGCCCTTTGCTCGCTATTTCTGACCCATTTATTTTAACTAAAATTTAAGTATCCATCTGCTTAAAAGTTAAGTTTTTAAGTATTCATCAATCCTTATTTGAACTCTTTCAATCCTGTTGATTTTACCACATTTGAAGGCAGTCTATTCTAAAGGCTAACCCAACCCTGTTCAAAAATAAAAATTGTCAAATTTGTATACAGAGATATTTACCTCTTTTCACTTGTAATCAGTACGTCTGTAAATACATACAAAATTTTTGTTAGCCTTGCCACTTGAGTGACTTATCCACTAATATACCAAAATTTTTCTTCGGTCACAGTATTGAGTGGATTCCCATCTATATTAAACATGTGATCTAAATTAAGATAACCCAAATACAAACTACAAATTGCACTACTGTAATTAAATGTCATTTGCCAAATATTTCTCCAAGTTACCAATTAATCCAAGTCATCTGTAATACTTCAACATACATGATATAGCTGTGAATACCCAAGAGTTTAGTGTTGTTCATAAACTTTACTAATAATACACCTACTAATATCATTAATGTAAGTAAGAAAAATCAAAGGCCAAAGCACTGACCCCTAAAGCACTCCACTAGTAACAAGGGTCCTGGTTGACTGGACTTTCTCAAACCCTACCAATGTAATTTTCTTAGCTCGTCTTTTGTTTGGCACCTTATCAAAACCTTTTTGAAAATTTAAGTGCCCTCTGTCCACACCATTTTCCATTGTCCAGGAAACAAATAACACCCTCAAACAAAAGATAACAGATTAGTAAGGCAAGATTTCTGTTTGGTGAATCCATGTTGACTTTCTTGCATGATGTCATATTTCATTAAATTATCTTCTGAAGCTGCTTTTATCAGTCATTTCAAAATTTTTCCATTATAGAAACAAGACTTAACTGGTCTATAATTTTTTAGAAAAAATCCCATTTAAAAATATGAGTATTATTAACAACTCTCCAGTCTTTAGGCACCTGCCCAATGTCTAGTGACCTTGCAAACATGGAAGAGAAAGGTTTGCATATCTTACCTTTGACATCCTAATGTTAGGGAAAACTTTGTTTGGTCCTGATATTTGTAATCTCTCAGTATTTCTATGTACCACCAAATGATGAATATATACATAATTCTGGTCAATTCCAATATTTCATTTATATACATTTAACTGTACAAAAAATATTTATAACAAGACTTCACCATGAATTTAAAATGTTTCTACTGACTTTGTGACATTCTAATTTGAAATGAATGACAATCTCTTCTGCTGACCTCTAAAGAGTTAGTTGGGCTGGTTTATTTCACAGGATTTATTTTCACGTAAGTTTTTTTCTTTATCGTAAAACTTCATGTAACATTGGTCGGTCAATATCTTAACACCGTGAGGGCTGTGTTAGGACAAAACTGGACTCCACCAGGTGAATAGTGGAGTCACCTAACACAATTGAATGTAACTCAAGCGCACTCCTGTATATCTTGACCTTTGTCCCATAATTTTTTTTATTACTAAAACTCAAATAACTAACTTATTAGGCATTTTTTCATAGATAATAGTAATGCAAAATGAAATTTTAGATTGATTGTAAAACCTACACTCCGACTATCATCAAAGGTCATTAATAAAGTATTCACTGTTTAAGTGATTTTGGATGACTAGCAAACAAAATACCATATTTTTTGGTGTATAAGACACACTTTTTTACCCCAAAATTTGATGTCAAAATCTGCTTGCATCCTATACACCGAAGGTATAAATAATATATATATGTATATATACGATTTACATAAGCCATGTGTAAATATATTTAAATAGGCATGCATAGTTTAGTTCAATTGAATGTGTTATTTATAACAATAGTAGTTTTTTTTCTTTTAAAAACATAACTATTTATAATGCTCCCTAAATAATAAAAAATAAAATTAACAGTGAAAGCAATGAAGATTTAGTAGGTTTTGAACCAAAATAAATAAAACCAAACCTTTTTTTTTTTTTTTTT